GGAAGGGCTGGGTGTGCGAGGGCAGGCAGGGACGGGCAGGCGCACAGCCCCGCTCTGTTCCCAGCCGCGGCCTCGCCGCAGGCCTGAATGAGATGCTGTTCCCTGGCCAGGGCTGACGTCTCTCCCTTGGCTCCGGGAGCATCTCAAGCCTTACCTGGCCCATGTCGGCACCGGGGTGCGCCCGGGCTGGGTCCCTGGTGCCGCAGGGGCTGGGAGCCGAGGGCTGCCCTGGGCTGCGGTCCTTGGGCAGAAGCAGGGTGCTGAGAAGGGGCGATGCTGGCATGGTCCCGGCTCTGCTGCAATGGGCAGAGGGGGATCGGTCTCCGGGTTTGGGACCCGCTGGTGGCCAGGGATATGTGCTGGGGATTGCACGGTGTTTGGGGAAGGGATTGCCAGGATGAGACCACAAAGGGAAGTGGCTTCATCTCCAGCATCACTGCTGGGAGAAGGGAAGTCCTGAGCAGGCATCGTGCTGCTGTTGGGCTTGATGTCCATTTTGCAAACACCCCTTGTCCTGGGGGAGCCGTGCTCGCCCCTCCCCATGTGCCCCGTCCCTGGGGGATTCAGCTGGGCATGGCGAGCCCGCTGGCCTAGCCCGACCCACAGTCGGGCTCTCGTGAGCCCTCCGAGAGCCCGACTGCGGAAGAGGAGCTTGTTGTGGAGCCATCCTGCTTTTAATTAACAAATTAAAATCCTAGTTAACAATCCAGCCCCAGGGCTGTTAGAGGCTGGGAGAAGCTGGAGCGTTTGTTATGGAAACAGCAGTTAATTAACAAATAAATAAATAAGTATGGGCCTGGAGACAGATGCAGGAGGAGGAAGGGGAGATGGCAGTGCGGTCGGGGTGTCCCACTGGCCTGACGAGAGGCAGCGCGGGAGGAGGGCATCCGTCCATCCATCTGTCTGTCCTGAGGGATGCCGTGGCCCCAATGGGCAGCGCCAACCTCACTCGGAGCCGCTGGGTGCGAGGGGCTGGATTCTGCCTCGTGCTGGCTGTGCCACGGCAGATCCAGCCCTGTACCATGCTGGGGCCACCTTGGCTGGGTTTGGGGCTCCCGGTCTCTGCCTGGGCTTTGCCGAGCGCCGCTGGCCCTGGATATCGCACCCGCTGTCTCTTCCCCCACCCCAAGGCCGGGAAGCGCTGCGGCAGAGCTCCGGTGGAGATGGATGAAGCGTGACACTGGCAAAACTGCTGTGCAGTTTGCAGGCGACACCAGTGCCGTGCTGGGGGACCGCGTGAGGAGGTGGGGGGACACGGCTTGCTGGGCCACTCCATGCATCCTTGGAGGCAGGGATTGCTGCGGTCCCCATCGGCAACTCCTTTGCCCCAGGCTGGGTCTGTGCCGGGGGATTTGGGCAGCTCCCCTGGGCTGGGTGCAGGCGGGGAGGGGGGCGCTGAGGCCATGGCCCCCCCGGCCGTGCCCTGCCGGGGTCAGCCTGCCTTAACCCCAC